TCCCTCGCTCGCTCCCTCTCTCCCTTTTTTCCATCTCTCTGTGGCTGGACAAGAATAGTATTTTCTGAAAAAAGAAGTGGCTGAATTAATACTATTAGGAAACATCTGACAGTGTCGAAAGATAATTGGCAGGAATATTGAATCTAAAATTCTTAAAGACCTAGCTTCTGGGGCCAATAATTTCAAATAATTTGAACTGCAGTCCAAAACTTTAGTTTAATTACTTCTCGTAAAATTTATTATATTATTTTTTTTAATCTCCCAAAGCTTAAATCGTTTTTCCTTTCCTATCACTTTTGTGCTCTAGTTTTATATTAATCGGGAAATGCCTTCAGCTTTGCTTGTATTTTGTAGATGGTCCAAATACATTAACAACTGTTCCTTCCTTGGGATCAGCCCCACTGACCATCCTTAGTGAATTAAAATAAAGGTAGTCCTCAACTTACAATAATAGTTGAGCCCAAAATTTATGTTGCTAAGTGAGAAATTTGTTAAGTGAGTTTTGCCCCATTTTGCAAATTTTCTTGCCACATCATTGCGGTTGTTAATAGCAATAGCAATAGTAGTTAGACTTATATTCTACTTTACCGTGCTTTACAGCCCTCTCTAAGCGGTTCAGCCGAATTGGTAGTAGTTTGGCGGTCTGGGTCACTGGAACCGGCAGCGATGCAGGACTGCCACGCCCCTGAACCAGTTCTCCCAGCAGCGCCATAGGATGCCGCCATCTTGTTTTGTGCTTCTGTGCATGCACCGCGCATCAAGCACATGCACCAAGTGCATGCATCAAGCGCATACATCAAGTACATGCATCAAGCACACTCATCAAGTACATGCATCACACATGCATCACACATGCATCAAGTGCATGCATCACACATGCATCAAGCGCATGCATCAAGCACATGCATCAAGCACATGCATCAAGCGCGCGCATCAAGCGCATGCATCAAGAGCAGTGCTCCCATGAGCGAACCAGCAACAGTGACTGCTAGAACCCACCCCTGGGTCATAAGTGTGAAAAGGATCATGGCACTTCTTTTCCAGTACCGCTCTAACTTTGAATGGTCACTAAACAAACTGTTGTAAGTAGAAGACAGTGGTGAGTCGCAGGCAGTACGCCCCGGTATGGGCATACCGGAGCCTGCCCGGAGCACTGAGTACCGTTCCAGTACAGTGCTCCGCAGGGCCCACCTGGCCTCCCAAGCTCCTTACCTGTCCTTTAAGCCTTTGGCCTTCCACGCACGTGCATGGCATGTACGGTGCCTATGCGACACTCCGGTGAGCAACTGGAGCGTCACGGAGCAACTGGAGCGTCCATGTGGGCAACGCCAGCCCCGTTCCAACTGGTACGGAACCCACCACTGGTAGAGGACTACCTGTAAGCCCACAGAGGGAGGCCTGCTTTGCCAAATGAGGATGGTGATACTATTTTCAGTTTGGGGAGAGAGAAAATAACCAGATGAATAGGAAGCCGCCCTTTGAAAAATGTACAGGAAGGGAAAAATTCTATTCAGGTGTAAGATTCTACCGAAGCCTATTAATTTAAGGAAGGTACTTTAAATGCATTGGCATTTGTAAAGGATATTGAATTGCCTTTGGAGGGATACAATAAGCAGTTAAGAGCTGCAATAGAAGAAAACAGATTGTGCTGTAATTAAACGGAGCTTGGCTCACCCAAATGACAGGGCTTTGTTGCAGAGCTCAAATTTAACAACAAAGCCATCCAAAGCTCAACCACCCACCAAAGACTCTTAACGCTAGGCTCTCCCTTGCAAGTCCATAATCAGGGCACTACGTGAACAGTAATACCTGGGCTTTTTCAGGACTCTTTGTTATAGGCTTGTATTGTCAGAGAGGCCAAAAGATAGGAAGTCGAAATAAGGCCCCTTTGCACAAATATCAATCAGAACAGAGCTGGAAGGGGCCTTGGAGGTCTTTGGGTCCAACCCCCTTGGAGACCCTTTAGCGTTTCAGACAAATGGGTATCCAGTCTCTTTTTAAAAACCTCCAGTGATCAAGTACCCACAACTTCTGAAGGCAAAGCCGTTCCACTCAGTGGTGGGTTTCAAAAATTTTCGCTACCGGTTTGGTGGGCGTGGCTAGGTGGAGGGGCATGTGACTGAGTGGGCATGGCCAATTGATGTCACTCATGCCCATGCCCACTCAGTCACATGACGCTCCCCCTCCAAGCCACGCCCACCAAACCGGTAGGAAATTATTGGTGGCATTATGCTGACATTGTAAATCATCCTGCGAAATCATCCTGTAAAACACTGCGAAATAGTATAT